AGATTGAGTTTAACACATATTATAATTTGTATATATGACGTAAATATATAGATCATGATGAACTAAAATAAAAAGATAACAATAAAAAATTTCAAAAAGGAAGGATAAAAACGAAATTGAAATCTTAAAAATCAGAAGAAACTAGAAAATTGAAAGAAATGGAAGAGTACAATCAAGCACAATCCCTTTTACAACAACAAAACGATATGTTGAGTGAGGCACTTGTCATTGGAAGAGAGAATGAACAAATTGGAGCTGAAACTCATCAAATGCTTGTCCAACAAGGGGAACAACTAAGAGGAGTAAATAACAAAGTTTGTTAATTATTTTTATGAAAATAATGTTATTTAACACTTTATTTACATACTTCAAAAGGAAAAAATGTTTATCAGTTAGTTGGATGACATTGATTCAAACGTGACTATTGCAGATAGCAAATTAAAGAGAATGACTTTCAGATTAATCACAGACAAATTTGTTCAAATTGGAATAATTGCTTTACTAATTATTGCTATTCTCTTAGTAATCTTTATTAAGTGGATTTTACCTCTTATTTAAATGACTTTGTGTTTTTTAAATTAATTGTTATATTTCTCAGGTCTAAACAAAATCAATTTTATCCATAAATCAAAGACATAATTAATTTTTGTATTACTCTTTTTATTGGTCATCCAAATGAATTACATGTGATTTTTCATTTATCACTTTTGATTTAAGTTGAGAATTCCTATGACTTGTTTCTACTGATGTTGGAAGAGCTGGTTTTTTAATGTTTGATTCTTCATAGCTTTGAGAGTTAGTAATGTTAATTGGTACAGAGGAAGTTGTAGTGTTGAGATTTATTGTTGGTTGTGCAATATTACTACCTTTTACAGATAACTTAGAAATACTACCACCGATGGTTTGACTAGCATTAGAAATTGCATCTTCTTTCCTTTTCTTTTCCTCTCGGTATTGTCGGGCTTGAATCCTTCTTTTTTCTTTCTTTTCTTCTTCCTTTTTAAGTTCTTCTTCAGTCAAATTTTTGACTGGAACACATTTAAATGGTTGATTAGCTTTGTAATGTGGAACAGGGTCGGTTCCAGTGTCATCAATGAATGGGTCATCTGTGATATAACCAAATCCTTTTTTTGATTTCCCAACAAATAAACGTTGTTGAATTCTTCCTAAAACAGAAGAGTATTGATTTTCTCTTAACAATTCACGTTGTTGTGCTTCTTTCTTTGCTTTTTCAATTGTTTCTTCATCTACAATTCCACTATCTGCCTTTTCATCTATTCTTTCATCTTCTGATTCATCCTTTTCAAGATCAACCTCTTCATTTTCATTTTCTTCTTCATCTTCTTCAATCATTAATGAATTAATTGCATCTCCATATTTTTCTTTTGCTTGTTCGTTTAAAAAGAATTGAAAATTAGGCCAAAGGTCAATTTGTCTATCTTCAGGTATTTCAAACTCTTCTGAATAAACACGGGGATCTAATAATTGAAGATCATCCAGAGGTGGCATTTCAGAATCATTTTCAGTGTCTGTTCCATTTCCATTACTTTTAAACACCTCTTCCATTGAATATTTTTGGAAATAAAAGAAATTGAGATTGTATTTCTTTATAGCTCAAAAACTTTGGTTTTTTATTTTTGTTGGTTTAGTGTTTCATTTTATTGTGGATAATTATCTCATACACAGCTCATTTATCATATCCAATTGTAAAATACTTATTCATTAGACCTTAATTAAAATTCTCAAAAAGTATAAAACATCATAAAATAAGTTTAGAAAAAGTCCATTTAGACTTAATTTTCAATCTTTTT